GAGAAAATCTCATTATGTTACGTTGCTGCATCGATGCGGAATCATGCACGGCTGAATCGCGATGCATCTTAGAATCGATCATTTTTCCCACCTCTAGTCACAAATGCCCACCCCCAGCCCCCGTGCGCCCGACTGGACTGTCTAAACTCATGTTTCCTGTAATTTCATGGCACGAATAAAATGTGTTTCTTTGTGCTCCTTCAGTCACGGTTGTAATAATAATTATATTGTCTGACTTTTACTGCAAGACACTATTTAACCTGGGGTTAGGTGGTGCTGTTGACAAAGTTAGAGGAAACGCATCCTGACCAATCACAGGCTTGTGGTCTACATTGTTTTCAGTGGATGGTTAGAAAAAAAACGGGCTCTATTTGGTTCATTCATGCAAGCCTATTGGAGAGCCCTTGCAACCATAGATGATGGTGTTGTGTGTTGCTGCGCCTCCACAGACAGAAAAGTATAAATAAAGTATTTGTATGTTTGGGTTTTCTGCTGTTTCTCTGGTTTCAACCCACAGACCAAAAACATGCATGCTAGATTAAAACTGTCAGTCACTTTGGGAAAAAAAACTTTTTTTTTCTGTTTTCTGGACCTCCAGGCACCCGTAGAAGCACTTCTGTACTATCTACTTGTGTTTTTGTCATGTGACTGATTCATCAAGTTGAAAATAGGCTTAATTGGTGTGAACATGTTTTAAACCGTAGGTTTCTGATCAGCTTTCTGTAATTTCACATATCCTGTCGCACTGTTTAGTGCTAACATGTGCAGCCCTTTATGCATGCTAGTTTCCACCTAAGACAAGCTATTTTCCTGTCGAGGCAGAGGCTGATGCAGCAGCTGGTCAGCGCTCTGTTTGGTACTTGCTCCAGCAAACTTAGAGCCGGGTTCTCAGGAGTCCCAATTTAGTGACTTTTCTGGAGCCACATCATCCCCCCATGACACCGCCCAGGATCAGGCGGGTGTTTGTGGTTTACTGTGACAAATCATGTGACGGCACAACTCTTCCACGTATTTTTTTCTCCCTCCACTGGATTTTTTTTTTTATTAATGCATCAAATGACCAGTCTTGAGCCATTGTTATTGCTTGTCCTAATGGTGAAAAGCATGTGATAAAGCTCTTTCTGTGTGAGGCTGGCTAAAACCACTGAGTGGATGATGGAAAATACCTCATTGGATGTTGCTCTACGGCTGATACTTTTAAAGTTAATACAAATCACTTCAACATGGCAGAGAATCAGCCCTAGCACAGACCTCAAACAGCTTGAATGTGTTAGTTGTTCAGGGGTTTTCATTCAACAAATACCGCAAGAGTAATCAGATTTTTTTTTATTTTAATAAAAAGGCCCAAACTAATATTTTTCAATATTAGATCATCTAAAACTCTGGCATGAAAGCTGCTGATCAACAGTTTTTATTTTTTGTTCTTTTAACTGGAATGTTTTTAGTCCTGTAAATCTGTTATGCTTAAATTGTGATTTGGGGAGCCTTTTTTCAGATTAACGTGGTTGTTTCTTTTATGGAAGTCAATGTTCCGACTAACAACCTTCTGCCTTTTTGATGCAGTCATCCTCAAACGTCTTACCTTCAGACATTGTAATTGACACTTTGTGTGTTTCTAACAAAATGAAAAAGCATCGTAACTCTAGGACTGACAGCTAGAGTCCAATTTATCTTATTTCTCTTTTTTTTCTCAAGGTTCAGTACTGTGACAATTTTCTGATATTATTCAGTTTTACCTGTTTCTTGACTCCTGGATGACATCTACCCCCTACCCCCGCCCTCCTCCACCGCACACACACACACACACACACACACAGGGAGAGAGAGGTCAGGTCCTGACCATTGTATTGACCCTTTGCACGTGACGTCACGCCACTCATGTGACCGCCCCCTTCGCCATGATGGACGGCAAAAAGACCGTTTACACCCATAGAAACTCCAGTGAAGGTAGTCAAAACAAGCCAGTTTGTAGCCTTTTATGGCTTTTATTTAGTTGATTTGACAGTAAAATGGTTTTAGCTTGCTGCGTGGTCGGCTGCACTAACAGACAAGGATGTAAACTCAACTAGTTTTTTATTTTTAATAACTTTGATGGAGACTGAGGACAGAGATGAACTGCAGCGATGAATCAAACAGACTAGCAGCCCTCAGATTAGCAGCGAACATGTTTTTACCGGGTAAGATTAACGCTCATTTATTTCACGAGGAAGACAGGGACAGGGATAAATGTGATGTGTTTATACTAGTTATTGATAATCCTGATGGATGGACGGGTATTTCACCACAGAAGCTGCCTCCATCCACTGTAGTGTAAAGCGAGACAATTATGAACAATATTAAAGCTCCGATATATGATTACGTGTGTTAAAATTACGTTATTTATTTATATGAGCGTCGGCGTTCAGAGATCTCATTCCGGTGTGAGAGCGGCAGCTGAACCCGGTATAACACCACCAGCAACAGAAGCTGGTAGGGATCCGGACTTTCTAACAATCAGCTTTGGTGTAAAGTGAAACGCTGTTTACAACATAAAGTTATAAATCCAGAGGGGTTAATTTAGGCAAAGTCAGCAACGAACAGCTGCAGAGAGAACGTAAGCTAACGCTGGTAAGCTAGTTAGCATACCGCTCTCTATGAGCCCCGCTAGATGCGCTACTTCTTCTGATAACTGAACTGGGCATGAACTAGTGGAAGGAATGCTGGAGGAGTTTTGTTTTTGTTTTGATCGCAAAAACAATCTCAGGCTCTACTTTTCCTTTTGTTTAGTAATCGTGTCGCTCACAGTTTACATGCTTTTGCCGTCCAGCATGGCGGACCCACGTGATTAGGTGACGTCGGTGCAAAGGGTCAATATGCATTGATTAAAATAAAGCGATTGATCAGATTTTTTAAATTGGGGTTGGGTTGTGAGCAATGAACATCTTTCCTGCTGGAGGTGTGGTCAAACAACCAGTCAGAACAGGTATAGTTGTGAACTGTCATAACAGTTAAAGTCTCATAATGATTGCAGTAATTAATGCAAACACTACTTACCACAGTTGAGTACGATGCCCGGCGCGTCGTCCACTACACCGGTGCCCAGGACAGCTGACAATCGATGATCAATACTGGGGAGTTCCCTTGTTTTGACTGTTGTATGACAACTCCACATCACTTAGTGATTTCAGTACATTTATAATAAAAAGCCAACCAGAAGTGCTACAATATCTAGCTCTGCAGCTAATTTCCACTTCTTATAATATTTTTAAAAGAGCATTTATATAAGCTGCTATGAAATCTCTTTCTCCAAGCTGAGGTTGTTCACAGAATTTTCTACAACAGAGAACTTATTACATTCAGAACATTTCCATAGAAACACACTATGAAAGATCTCAACTATCCCTTTAATATTAGTATTTTTAAATCATTTATTTATTGCCTGATCATATAAAACCTTTTGTCTGTGAAATATTTATTATTTTACCTAAAAGCCTCCTTGAACCTTTAGTCTGACAGCAGATGATTATGTGACTCAAATAGAGCAATTCAGCAGCCTCACATCATGTACCACACACACACACACACACACACACACACACACACACACACACACACACACACACACACACACACACACACACACACACACAACCAGGCTGACGCCTTTTATATTTACAGCTTGCAGAATCAGCAGAGCATTGTAGATAATTAAAATTCAGCAAGCTTTGACGAGGCGGTCCACCCTTGATTTCCCATAGTACCTTGCTTTCAAGGGCACAATTTCCATTTCTGCATGTTATTTAGAAAATGTCAACTTTTGGTGAGGCCTCTCGACCTTTTTTGGAGCGCTTGTGGCCGTTGTCGAAAGGGCAGGACGCCACTGTTGTCTCCAATGTCTTGAAGCCATGTGCTGAATTAACCAGTCCTGAAAAACAGCATCTCTCATATGTCGCTGGTTCCTTAACACATACAGAACTTCATTTGGAACAAGGGATGGTATTTTTGTTCCTGTGTGATGGTGTTATGTCTGCTACATCAGCCTTATGCAGATTTACTGGATGCTCTTAACAGCAACATAACATTTAATTAGAAACGAAGATCTGATCTGATTTTAAGGCTGATTTATGTAGATCAGATCACACAGAGGTTTAATGTAGCACGTGGCTAATTAGCATATTGCCACTGCCTCACACTACCAGAGTTAATTAGAGCTGTGGTGTGATGCACAACTCAATGTTAATAAACATGCAGCACCTACAGGTCAGTCTTTTCTTCACTTGAAACATTTCAGATATCTTGTCAGGATATCAGCTTCAGGAGTTCCCAGGATGAAAAATCCCATTTCAGACGTCACATGCATAAGTTACGGCGTAGTGGTGCAGTTAGTAGCACTGGTGCTCTCAAAGCAGGAAGGTTTCAGGTTCAAATCCCAGCTGTAAGGTGGGTTTTCTGCAGGAAATCTCTCATTTTATGAAAGGTTTTGTTTGTTGATTTAAGTTGTTTTGCATTGAATGTATTCTTGACTGTTAACATTCCACTCTGGTCTTGTGTAATTGTTGTATGATAAATTGGCTTGCCTTAGACTACGTCACCTGATGGAGGTTTGTCCATAGGATACTTTTTTATGTACAACACCCATCGCTAGCAGCAAATGCTAGCTTATTTCAACTAGCGTTAGCAATGTTGACACGATGGCCTTAGCTATTTAGTTATGGTTTGTGTTCAAGTGGCTGAAATGAAAAAGACTTTTTTTTTTGGTGGTTCTGCAAACATCTTTTTGTTTATCGTTTACATTTTGTTCAACATTGTTTCCATTTTTATTACTAATTCTAACATTTCTGCACTTTTAAAAAGAGTCTTTTTGCCATGTTGTTGACAGAACAGAACATGAACAGAGCAGCAAAACAAAGTCTTTACTGAATCATGGAGGGATTTGAACGCCTTCGTTATTCTGATGAAGTGTAGTTTGAGGGCAGAGACTGTTTTAATTCTCATGTTTCTTTTGTGTTTTTTACCTTCAGGGTTTCCATCCTGGAGAGCGGCAGCCTCCGAATATGGAACGTCACCAAAGCCGACGCGGGCCTCTACACATGTTTGGCCAGGAACCAGTTTGGAGTAGCAAGCAGCACAGGAAGCGTCACGGTTAAAGGTATGTCCTGACTGCTTTAAACACCTCCGTCGAGTTCCACGGTTTTCCCATTTGAACATGGAAACTAGAACATAAAAATGGCTGTGGCGGTGAGGATGGACACGTTCCTGAAGCCGCTCTGCCCTCCTACCCCCGATGAGTGGAGCAGTGTCTTTACTGCGATGGAGACATGCCGGCTGCTGTTTGTGTTGGAACCTGCTCCTCCAGTTCCTCCCGGACCATCAGAGCTGTGTGAAAAAGTCCTCGCACTATCTGATCATCTGGGTTGCAGATTGCATTTCTGCTCCGGTGCTGTGACTTATTACACTTCATTAAAAATGAAGGTGAGCTGGGTAGAAAGTGCTGGGCTTCATTCTGTGCACACTGCTTTGTTTCTGTCCTATTTCCAAAGGGAATGGTGTTCTCGACTCCTGACGTTCCCGTCGGATTTGCTGATATATTCGGTGAACTACCCCCTCATCCTGACCCTCTTTTCTCAGAGGTTGCACGGTTCACTTGTGCTATTGTTATTTCATCGGTGTTGACCTTCCTTGTTGGCAGGTTTGGACAGATTTATTGAGGCATTGATCTTAGGCAAATAGGCCTGGGGGAGGGAGGTCCACACCTTGTTTCAGTTGTTCCTCCGTAGATTTACATGTGCTGGAATTTCTTCAACCAATCAAACAGCTGCTGTTTGCATTTGCTCGGCTTCCCTACGAGCAGCATAACCCAGAGCTTTAAGGCAAACCCTGTGGGTGAGGTTGTGCTCATAGCTTTTCTGGAGAGAGAACAAGGTTCTCCTGTGAACATGCAGCCCCCATCGATCGTTTGCCTGAGCAGGTATCGCACCTTTCACCTGTTGGGGAAGGACACGCTCAGGTCAAAGAAGAGAACCTATTGAAATGCAACCCAAATCCCTCCAATACCCCCAGACTATAGGGCTAGGAATGATGTAAGGTTTCCATCAGCTCAGGAGTAGGATCTTTTTTTCATAAAGTCAGAGCTTTCTTCTTGTGCGGTTTATGATTTTTGCTCCGAGGTTCAGTACATTTAATAGTCTTTCTGCTGCAGTCTATAAAGCCCTGTGAAACGCAGTGTCAAAATCACGTCAGGCGGCTAAAACATCCTTTCTTTCTCCCCAATTATCCAACTAGTCGCTATAAAACTTACATTGACAAAATTGTATCCCCACAAGCGTGCATTTGATGGTATTCTTTAAAAAAGAAATACTGATTTATGCTCGTAAGAATTACAGCCAGAAGAAAGCTGGACTCTTTCTGTATTAAGTCTGTTTTTTACTGGAACGTATCCTATAATGGAATTTTAAATAAGTCTTCTGTAAATCCTTATCAAGGCATATTTTCCTTTTGTTCTGCTGAATGAAAAAAGACAGATCTGATTTTATTGGGAACGAGCAGCAGTGCAGCATGTGAGAGCGCCAGAGTTAAAAAAATCACACAAAGATCATCTAAAACCCTGATTTATGATCGGGAGGCTCTCAATGTCTTTCAGAGCAAACCAGAGTGCTCTTAACACACCACAGATGGCAGGATTATCTGATGAGATTCTCTTTAGACTCATTAGTGTAATTATGCGTGTCCTTAAGGTTGTTGGAAGGAAGGGATCAGGCCAAAAATCGACACCATTATCCTGCTGTGTGAGCCGAGCCTCAGACAGAAAAAGTTTACAGAAATTTGCTTTCATATTGGCTGAAAAATCCTTTTAAATGGTTGAGATGAGTTTGTGTTTTTGTGTAGACGCGTGAAGCAGAAGTTTGAGCTCCACTTGGAGACTAAAATATAAAGCAGAAACGGTGCCTCCTCACCTACTTTGGGATGATAAAGGTGGAGCGCCCTCACCCCCACCCCTAACCAGCGAGTTTCAGCAAGAACTGGCTACTCTCTCTGGAAGGTGGACGGCTCATTTTCTAATCAGGGTGCATGGAAACATGTCTACACGCATCCTTTCAACAGCCTCGCTTCCTTCCACATGCTAGAGCTGCTTTCTGCTGCTGATATACAAATGCTCCTTTATATGATCCTCGCCCTTCTGTCACAGGTGATATTGTTTGCCAAATGGGATTGGGTAATTTATATGCACCACTTCATCGAGGATTGGAAACCCGTTTAGCGAGGAGAAATTTGTGTTGCGGGATCAGCCCTTATGGGAGATGACAGTAGTTTATTCAAATTGACTTTGGTGATATGAATGCTGCAAACATACCTGTCAGCTAGCGTTTGGCGTCTCCTGTTGTGAATAAGCCACCCGGCAAACAGCGGCGGAGCAGCCACATCAGATGAGCCTCGGTAATGTCCCATTATTCCAACACTGGGGTGAGATTAGCAGATTAATTGCACTTGATTGTAGTTGTTGCTCCCGGCATGTTGATCACACTGGAGATGAGCTGTAGCAATTAGAGTTGCTGCCGATCATCACAGAGGGCCAATGAGCTCAAGGGTTGAAGGACCATGTGACTTCGCGTCTGTTTTCCTCTTTAAATTTGTATTCTTCTTTCCGGCTCCGTGTCACATCATCCTAAAGTCTTTCACATCGGAGAAAATTCAGTCAGATTTAGATAACATGTTCTTTGTGTTCGGTGTGTTTATGTTAATTCATGTCGATTTTCTGGGCTTTTCCTGCAGCGCCACCTTCAGGTTTGACGTTTAGTCTAGTTTAAAAAAATGTAGTCATAAAAGTTTATTTTTCCCTCGGGAAAAATTCTAATGGCTTTGGTGATCCCTTACCTTTTCCTCCACGGCCATGATCAGGTCGCATTTTTAATTTGTATCCAGTTTATGACCAATTACCTTCAAACAACCTCTGTCAGGGTGCATGCTGGAAAATAATTGCTGTGGGCTGTGGATGGTGGCTATCTGGACTGGCATAAGGTGCTTCCCAGCCTCGCGTGTCATTTTACTGACTCTCTATGTGTTTCTAACATGAGAGCGAGCTGCATGAGCGCTCCAGCACTGGTGGTTCACAGCGTGCTAACAAAATAAAAGCCTTTTTCATGGGTGCTTCTGAACTGAGATAAGGGCTGACAACAATGATCAACATTTGAACTGTCAGATCTTTTGTTGTTTTATCTCAGCGGCAAATAACATTTAACCACCATCAGTTTTTTCAGATGAATATTGCCAGATATGTTTTGTTTTTTTACTTGGTAACACAAATATCTAATTAGTCGAACACGCAGTGTATTTGCTAATCTAATCTAGAAGTGATGAAAATGACTCACTGGTGTTAAATGTGAGCATCAGAATGGAGAGGAAAATGTTTTTTTGTCCTAGATTTAAGAGACAGGGATGGTTGTCAGTGCCAGATGGGCTGGTCCGGAACTGGTCTGATGAGTCTGGATTTCAGATGCAACATTTAGTCTAAATAAAGGAGTTGCTGTCACCGATGAAAGGAGCACAGAAAGTAAGAAAAGAGATGGAGAACTTACAGCTCAGGGAGCACCGATGGATAAATAGCAGAAAGGCACTGTTCTGTCTCCAACGGCTTTGAATGGTGTCACGTTGCGGTGTTGGAGGACCCAAAATGCAGAAACCCAGGATGACACGAGGCAGAAGTTGATTAAATAAAATAAATCCTTTATTTTTAGGATGATCAACAACAAAAATTAATCCAAAGTCCAAAACCCTAACCCTAACCCAAATTGTCAAAGGCACGAGAAGACTAAATCCAAATACGAGGGGCACTAGAAGACATGACAGAATTACAAACAATGGACCGACAAGATACTGAGATAAGGCAGGGCTTAAATACACAGGGAGGATGAGAGGGAGATGAGCTGCAGGTGTGTGGGGTGTGGGAGGAGGACCAGGTGAAGGCAATGACTAATCAGGAGAGAAACTAACTTGACCTAAGAATAAAACTTAATACAAAAGAGCAGGAAACATAACTATAATTCAGGGGGGGATAATAAACACTTGGGAAAAAACATACTAAATCATGAAAGGCTGAAGGAAATGACTTGAGACACCTAGAGGGCTGGAGATCTAGGGGCAAATGGGGAAAACCAGAAGACACATGAGGAAGACACAGACATGACACATGAGGGCGCTAGGACACAGAAGGGAACCTAGAGAGGATGGCGAAACACCAGGAGGCACATGAAGGAAGGGGCAGACGCAGACCATGACAAATGGAGACAGGATTATTCCATCCTCACAATGATGGTTGATCATCCGGAGCTCTAAATCCAGTCACTCCGTCTCAGTGATGCCATTAACGCGTTACTTACTGTAAAATGACCACTTTTCAATAATGGCTAATCTAACGTCTTATATTTCCTTATCAGTAATCTAATTAAAGTTACTTGTCCAAGACACTATGTGTTACTGGTAACTATTATTGTGTACCTGTTGTGTGATTTGCAATGATAAATGACCCGCACTTGTATAGCGCCTCTCAAGAGTAAGGACTCCAAAGCTCTTTACACTACAGTGCATCATTCACCCATTCACACACCCATTCACACACACATTCACACACACATGGTGAAGTGCTCCGATGTAGCCACAGCTGCCCTGGTGCGCACTGACAGAGGCAAAGCTGCCGAGCACAGGCGCCACTGGTCCCTCCGACCACCACCAGCGGGCAAGGTGGGTTAAGTGTCTTGCCCAAGGACACAACAGCAGAATTCTCTGGGATCAAACCTGCAACCTTCCGATTACTAGACAGCCCACTGAGCTACTGCTGCCCCCAAAACTGGCAAAACCAGCAACAGGACTAGCAAGACCGATGGGACCAACTAAAGCAAGCACACATTTTTTACTAAATTAGTGAACAGCACCGCGGTCCCATTCCTTAGAATGGAACAGCTACTCGTGGTGCAAAATTAACACCAACCAAAGATATCACTATTGGTACACGGAACATGAGACAAACAACAGCCAACACAACCCTAGCAACAAAACAAACAAAGCACACCAAAATAGAACAAACAAGTGGAAACCTGGCTACCCACAATGCACTTCCCCTGCTGCTTGTTCCACAGTCACAACTGCTACTAGTGA